CATTTGATTATATACTCTTCTCTAGCAATGACAATGAGTGAAAAAAATTTTAGCAACCACAACTTAACAGGTAACCGAACATTTCTTATTTGTTCGGGAACAGATAACCAACTCTAACAATGGTCAAATCGAAGAAAAGAATGAGGCGGCAAAAATCACAACCCAAACCAGTCTTGTCAAGGCAATTGACAGTAATTGCACTTGGCTCTTCTTCTTCTTTCTCAAGCACAAAAACCCTAACCCAATTTCTTGCTGATATATTCTAAGGATTGAAGATTTAAAACCCCATATTTATTTTCTTATTGTAAGGTCATGAACAAGTATGTAGAGATGAAGTAGTAATCACCTTCATGGGTTTGGTTAGGATTTTTGGAAGAGAGGTTTTTTAGGGTGTGGGGGGTGTGCATTCAATTGAATGGATGGAATGTTTTCGCAAGAATAATTTTGTATTATTTGGGGAGAGAAAATAAATTTTAAGAGTTTTAAAATTTATAGGTGTAGATCCAAAGAAATGGGGGGCTCCAAAATAATTGATGGGGTGCTAATAGTAGCACTCTATTTTAATTGAATATATAATATTTAAATTATAGAATAATGATATCTTTTCCAACCTAATACTTAATTAATATGCTAATCTTTCTGCTGAAATGGTAGCCCATTTTACTCGACTACTTGTAAAATTAGAAGACACGCAAACCACATTCCTAACGAATTGCCCAGATAATTGGAGAAATTTTGCTAATAAGGTATCATAAGGCACTACATTCCACTAATTACAAATGTATATGTCCCTTACTTTTTCTCTAATACCTAGCGTAAATGTAATAGACCTTATTGTCAAATCTAATCACAATAGTGGAAGGTATCACATCACATCTATCTTATTAGCACCTAAAAATTCCTCAGATAATTGGCTAAAAGACAAACAATGACACAATTAATAGAAGAAAAACAAACGGTAGAAGAATTATCAATACGTAATACATCATAACTATTTGTTAATAGGGAAAATTAAAGGTCCCTATAGTTTTTTTCACGTTTCATTTTGATTGTTGATATTTAAATTTAAACACATTTTACTCCAAGTTTTGTTTTTTGTGTCAAATAAGGACAATTATGAATGGAAGTTAAGTTTTTGGATGAAAAATGGTCACATGCATTGCACATGAACATCTTTTAAGGACAAAATAGTCTTTTTATCATTCCCTCTCTATAATTCATCTTCTTTATTTCTTTCACCATCACCATCACCACCCACAACCACCAACCACCACCTCTAAACATTACCACCCTATGCCTTGCCACCAACCACCATCAAAACACCTCCTCTTCCACACCACCACCTCATCAAAGTAACTTTAAACCAGCAATAAATCCACCCCAAACTAGTAGCAAATCTCGTCACTCTACCAACCCAAATTTACCTTCCACCACCCTTGAACCACCATCAAAGCATCACTACCAAACTCGCTCCACCCCACCACCCTCACCACCCTAAATCTAACTTCAAATCCTCTCATCGAAATCTGCCTCTTCAACGACGTAGTCCAATGACCAATTTCAATATGTTGGCTTGAAGAGGGATGGTCTGTGCTAGGAGGTGGGTAGGGTGATTTGTGCAGAAAGAGGTTGTGGAATGGTCTATGTAGGGAGGAGAGGAAGGGTGGTTTGAGCAAGTGTGAAAATGAATTGATGGACGATAGTTTGATCTAGGAAAGGAAGAGAGAGAAAAGTGAGATAAGAGTTCAAATGAGAATCAATCGTGGGCTTCTTTATTATGGTCCTTGCTCTACACAAGTTTTATGGGCTGCAATCTTTGAGACGATGTTTTCCCCTTGAAACTTATTAACCTATCCTCATTAAAGGAATTAGATTTGATCTATAATCCAATTTTTAACCTCGTAAATTGCTGCAGAGGCCATAATGAGCTCCATATGCTTTGTTTAAAGTCATGCACATGGCTCCAATCACAGAGGCTGCAAATATTAGAAGTATTGAATGTCAAACCATATAGTGGTTGGAGAAAATGGCCTTTCTCTCACCTCCATGTCCACTAAGATCCTTGGTACATTCAAAGTTTGACAATCTAGTTGAGATTATGGGATGGTTCAATTTAGAATTCATAGGAAATGTTGATGCTGAGATAATTGATAATTTGGGCCTGTTAATCTTATGTGGGGGCCGAGTTGAATATGAGCCATATATAAGTCGGCTCAAACTAGGCTTTACCTTCAAGACAAGATTACGAAGAAGACTGGTAAGGATGAGTTAGCTTGACCGGATCCATTTGAACAGGGTCGTGGCCTAGTAGAACCTAGTTTGCGAGCCGAATACGCCATGAATCCTTTGGAACGTCTTGGGGCCCAACTGTGAGGGCAGAGTGTCCATAATAAGAAAGTAAGTCCCTGGAGAGCAATATAGAAAGGAGGAACATCAGCTAAAGAAGAGGTATGTGAGAAAATAGTAGATAAATTGTAAGAAAAGAAAACACAAAAGCAAAAGTGTAACAACCTCGACCTCTGATTAACGTAAAATCCATGATTACGAATGCTTAATAAGCAATTAAGATGAAATTTTGCATTTATTACATGTGTTATCTGTTATACGAGTTTCTATCTGTTATGTGTAGGAATAGTTGTCTCTGGTTTTGTTCTATTTTGCGAATTGAAGGCCTTATCGGCATCCAATGACGAAATTGCCTTGGTCTATGTGTTATCTGGAATTTTTAGAACATTATGGTAGGTTCAATTGAAATTCGATTCGGAACGATTAAATTAGAGTAAATAATGTCAATTGATTAACCATTAACTAAGCCTTCCTAATTGAGCCTATATAAGTCATGAGGGGGCTCTAGAGTGCATTTTTACACTCTCATTTCATCTCCTTGAGAGCAAAAACGTGGGAGAGTGAGAGGGGAGCCTAGAGAGAGTGTTTGAACTCAAGAATTGGAAGAGGACTTGTGGAGAGTTGAAAGTTGGATTTGGAAACTCAAGCAATTGAACCTCTAGAACACCATTAAGCATCTAAGGTAAACAACCAAGTCTCTAGTCTTGCAATTTACTTGGTTGCACTAAAGAATTTTCACTTTTGGCAACTAAATTTTTAGTCGCCAAAAGTCATATTTTAGTCGCCAATACTCTTTAGCGACTAAATTTTTTGGTCGGGAAATTAGTAGCCAAAGAATAGTCGGGAAATATAATTGCCGACTATTTGGCGACTAAATATTTAGTCGCCAATAGGTTTGAAAATTAATTAAATAAATGCACTTTTGCCGACTAATTTTTTTGTTGCCAAAAGCCAATTATTTAGTGGCCGAAAATTTTTTAGCTACTAAATTTTTTTAGTCGCCAAAAGTAAATACTAGTGTTTTGGCTACTAAAATTTTAGTCGCCTAAAGTCAATCTTTTTTGGCTACTAAAATTTTAGTCGCCAAATACTATTTATTTTGGCTACTAAAAATTTAGTCGCCTAAACTACGATATTTTTGGCTACTAAATTTTTAGTAGCCAAAAGTCATATTTATTCTGAAACTTTGGTTTTTAGCTACAAAATATTTTGGTCGCCAAATGTTTGATTTTCTTTTGGCTACAAAACTTTTAGTAGCCAAAGGTTTGATTTTCTTTTGGCTACAAAACATTTAGTAGCCAAATGATTGTTTTTCTTTTGCCTACAAAAAATTTAGTAGCCAAATGTTTGATTTTCTTTTGGCTACAAAATTTTTAGTAGCCAAATGTTTGTTTTGTTTTGTTTTTTTTTCTTTTTATTAGCTACAAAACGTTTAGTTGGCAAAAACATGATATTATGTTTTATTGTTAATATTATAATGTGTCCATAGCATGTCTGTATTCCATTCAACCTGTAATACGTATGTAAATAAAATGATACGTAAATTATCAATCATTCCACAATCTGCATCCGTATACAAAAAATAAATTACTTTAACTGTCCAAGTACATACAAACGAGGAGCAGTCCAAACTAAAATAATAATTCCATACAACAAATACAATCATACAAAAAGTAAAGCCCTCCATATACAAAAATTACATTTACTATACCATGTGAAATGACCATTTGTCTGGAGACGACAAAAAATATTATTACTTCTATACAAAAGTACAATTTCTTCTCCATACACAAATATCTCTACCAGTCCACGCAGTGAAGTTATCTCCAAAAAACAAAAAAAAAATATTAGAATTGGACCCAAAAATACACAAAACCATCGGTGCTTATTAATGTATGTCAATGCCATTTCAGAGAGGATATTAGAACATGTGATAAAAATAATAACACACGTGTGTACGTTCACAAAATTAGCAAGTTTAAAACATTCCGTCAGTTATCACAAGTTCTATTTATAATGGGAAAGCTGCCCGTGAGAGTCAGACGGAGGTTCGGGGGATGTTTTGAAGTTTCGCCCCCGAAACGCCTTTTTCCGACTAAGTTTTGGGCGTATTCGTCTCTACATCCCAACCTATAGGTCCGAATAATATTCCGTCAGTTGTCACAAGTCATATTTGGCATGGGAAAACTATTCGTTTTGGCCACACGGAGGTTCGGGGACTCTTTTGAATTTTCGCCCCTGAAACGCCATTTTTCGACTAAGTTTTGGACGTATTCGGCTCTAAATCCCAACCTATAGGTCTGAATAACATTTCGTCAGTTGTCACAAACCCTATTTGGCATGGGGAAGCTGCTTGTGTCCGCCAAACGGAGGTTCGGGGACTGTTTTGAATTTTCGCCCCCGAAACGCCATTTTTCGACTAAGTTTTGGGCGTATTCGGCTCTAAATCCCAACCTATAGGTCCGAATAATATTCCGTCAGTTGTCACAAGTCATATTTGGCATGTGAAAACTGCCCGTGCAGGCCATATGTTTCTTAAAATTTACTAAGGTTCATATGTTTCTTATCCTATTTGTCAAGGGAATTTTCTAAGGTTCATATGTTTCTTATCCTAGTAGTTCAAGAGATTTATTTCTAAAACTACAAGTAGTCTAAAACATACCCAAACGAGACTAGTGGCCGTAAGAGAAATGAAAGTTAGGTAGTTTTTTCTCCCTACACAGTTGTTGAGCCACTACAACAATTGAATATGATGCAATTAGTTTCCACAACAATATTACAAACATCTTAGCTAAGATCTGTTCTGCAGATAGCACAAGGAACAGTCCAGAATATACCCGACAATGGTGATCAAATCCATCCACACATTTATCACAACTTCTGCAGTGTTTGCTGAACTTGCGCACCTGTAGCATGAAATGCATCTAGTGTAAATTAAAAAGGCCAGGATAGACATATTCTTGAAATACAACTAATAAGGCTTTGAGGTGACGCAGGTGAGAGGGTAAGGCAGTAGATGGATGCTGGCAATGCAGGTTATAGCCTTCAATGTCACAGTTGAGTGGAGGCAAAGTTGGTATTGATTAGATGCCATTATTACATTGATCATAAAGCTTGGTAAGGCAGTCTAAGTGAAGAAGTTGGTATTGATTAGATGCCATTAGATGCCATTAGATGCCATTCTTGAAATACAACTTATTTTTTTAATCTGGAGTTCTTTGGCTGTTGAGTGAAGAAGTATCATTCCAAAGGAGACATCCTAGTGGCCTATGGTCCTCCTATCTCCTTTCCAGACAGACCCAAATTTGAATCCAATTAGTTTCATGTCCTTTACATGTCATCATGATTTTCATAGCTCCTCCTTCCACCTCCAAAAAAATAGTAATAATCATAATAATGAAGTTGTGTGAATATGATATGATAGCAGTAGTTGGCAGTATTAACATAATAACACAAAAGAAAGCACAAGATGAATGAGAATTGAACCGTCAAACTATTTCATGAAAAAGTATGTCATGATTAATTTCTCTTCATTCTTTCTTTTTTTTCCCCCCCTTAAAAAAGGAAGCATGCTAAAAGGAATTATAAAACTTGTATAAATAGGTCTTGCTTTTCTTGTATAAAATAGATGGAATTCATAAGAACTAATTCCCAGATCAACTATTCATTTTCCAAATGTTATTGAAAAAATAAATGCTAAAAGCGCAAGCCCATAATTCAAATCAAATAAATCCACTTACCACCAGCGAATAAGTGCCAAACAAGGCATACTCCCAGATTTGGCCTCCAAGGAAAGGGGCAAAGAAAGCATAGAATGCGACAACCAACAAGCAAAATACAATAATTGCAACAACCTACCAAAGAAAAAGAACAAATTTTAACAAATAATCATGTGCTAAAATGAAAATGCAAACACTTGTTCGAACTCAAAACCGATAAGATAGCCAACTCCATTAGAGTAAAAATATAACTCAAAATAGACACTTCAATAGATGTCGTTATCATGTCATTAGTGGGAGAGGGGGAAAAACATGTTTATACATAAACCATGAACCAGAAATCAATGAAAAAGATAAACCGTAATCAAGTGATGTTAAAACCACCATGAGGTTATCTTTGTGACTATGGTAGTGCACAGAAAATAGTTTCTACAATATATCTTAATAAGTACTTAGGGAGATAAAAAATTTCCGTTTATCAGTATAATAAGTTACTGCAGAAGCAGCTTTTATATCTAATCTAAACATGAAATGAATGCCCAGAGATAATTATAATTTCCATCTTCAACACAATAGAATTTCACAAAAGCCACATCATAATTTCTTCATTCTGAGTTGAGTTTAGGCAATCATATTAAAACTCATAGAGAACCCCACATCACAATAACTTCGATTATAAAACAACTTGATCAAAAATAAATGTAAAGAAAAACACACACAAAACAAACAAACAAGCAAATAAAAATCTTATTAGAATCATGTAGTTAATATTAGAGGCAGCAATGGTGGGTTTTGGATCAGTGATGACAAGAGGGAAAAAAAAAAGAAAAAAAAAGAAGGTAAATCTGAATTTCACATGAAGTATTATGTTATCGTGTTTAGAGTTAGTTTAAGTTTTATTCTGTGGAGTCTTTGTTAGCTCTAGAATATTCTAATTGGTCAAAATTTCTTAAGCTTATAGAAATATGGGAAGTCTATCACCTGTCAAAATTTTGTAACTAAAAAGGCAAAACAAAAACATCAAGCTCTACACATCCACAACATTATTAAAATATACATATTTAAAGGATCTGGGTTTGTTTACTTTAGTCATTAATAAATAAGTATTGTAAAACTAGGGTCACAATGTACTTCGTTCCTACAAATGAAGAGAATCCACCATGCCGACGAAATTATCCATGTCAAGTATAACCTTCCCTAAATCTAACTATACCAACAAAAAGAACCTCTCAAGCCTATAAAGGGGTTGTTCAACTCCTCAAAAGGTCTTCCTATTACGCTCTCTTCAAATGAGCCATATCAAATGTAATGGAGCTAATCACAAAAGGCCCTCCTCCTTTGCCTCCACACAAACTAAACAAAACAAGACACATGTTTATAAGATTTGTCAAACTGATCAATGAAAACAAAAAAGAAATCAAGATTTTTGGCTTTTCTTTAAGAAAAAAAATAAATTAACCACACATATATGGAGTAGTTCACAGCATTACTTTCCACTCAAGCAGGATATGAAAGATGCAATAAAAGAATATACAATTCTACACCTTTAAAGAAAAAAAGAAAAAGAAAACCAGACAATTCAAGTGAGTCTGCAGATAGCTTGATCCAGAAGAGAGATTGAGAATTATCCGGTTGGCTTAGTCTGCAAGTACAACATAGAAAACAATGCGTCAACCATCAAAGAGTAATTTTAACTTGGACGAGAGAGGTCAGATTACAAGGGTTGGACCAACCAACCAAAGCTGAGTTGATGGACATTCTTTGAATGAGGTGATGGACAGATAGCTGGATGCGGACTCAGTATTTGTGGTGAGCACAGAAACAATAACGAGTGAATGAGGTGATGGACATTCTTTGAACTGGTCTCTAATTAATAGATTGCAGTATAATAAAGAGAACTAGGTGCTCCGGGCAAGTTGATTTTGTTCAATTTCTTTGGTTTCTATGAGACCGGAGGCAATTGGTTCAAAGTGATGTCTAATAGCAGCTCCTGTGTATTGAGAACAATATTCCTACACATTTTGTTCTCCTCCACAAACTTATGAGAGTATCATTCATACATTTTTCCACCAAGAAAGCTCTGATATTATTTGCAGCAAAAAACATTAGCAATTTATTTGATTTCTTTTATATTAACCATGATGTATTCAAACTAATACATGGAGTCTGTTAGTTAAATCTAAATGGATATATACAACTGTGACCAAAGGATTATTGACAACCATTATACTACTCTATTCACAATTAATTTAAAGGAATGGAGAATTGAAGAATTGGAGAAGTACCTCAAATACCCATTGCAACTGAAGAACCAAAATGAATCTCAATGGGCCTATGTGGCCAAACACCACCCTTACAGAACAGCTCAAATCGCATCATAACTTCTGCACAAGTACATAATATTAATTGCATATTTTAACAAAATCAAGTTTTGCCCAATATTGACATGTTAGTATTCAACATAAAATGTTATTTGTCAAGGACCAATCTGGCCAAGCTGCCTTCTAGTATTCTAATCAAACCTTAATCTGCATATCTATACATCCATATGACAGACTCCAGACCTTAGGGTCTGGATGCAACAAGCAGATAAGGCAATGTGACCAACTCTTTAGTTAGTATATAGATAATTAGTGAGCCTAGCATGATATCTTAATTTTAGGATTATAATAAACTCAAACCAGTAAACCCTCCAGCAGAGCGAAGAATTTTTGGATTCTATAATTACTCAAGGATTCAACCCGTGTTCTTCCATGAAACACAAAAATACACGTACTTCATTCTAAATAATCCAGTGGCTTCAATATCAGTTAATATCTCTCACAAGAATACACGTACTTCATTCTTTTTATAATTTATGCCGTCACTGCGCCAAGACACAGCATTTGTCACAGCCATAGGTGGCCTCTGTGTCACTTCCATCCTATAAGCATCGGTCTTAATAAATTCACTTAGAATCTTTGCTTCAGTGTATTGAGGGTAGCCAAAGTCCATCATCTCATCAAGTAGTTCGTACTACCAAATGAAAAAGCATCAGTAAAGCTTCTTCCAAACAATTATTAGTATCACAATCAAAACAAAAGACCTTGATAGAAAAAAGAATTGATAAATTAACTTACCACTACAACAAAGTTATGTCTAAGTGGTTCCTCTTCTAACTCTTCAAAATAATGCTTAAAGACCTGCCAACCAAAACATGTATAATTAAATTTGCAAAACTAATTCATCAAAGAAGTTAATGATTTTTTGTCCTCTCAAAGCATCTACAGGCAGACAGCACCAAAACAGACTTGGTCAACATTTGTCCTCTCGCTTTTATCTAAAAAATGCTACTAAAAAATAATTAACAAACCAACCCCTTCATATCAACCCCAATCAATTGATACAAAAATATCCAAACCATTTAGCCAATTGCCCACAGTGATGCATTGGCAGAGTTACCAGCATAAAAATTCCCATTAATCCAAAACAAATGAACACAGATGAGATGATCTTAATAAAAAATTGAGCTTTCGAAGCAAATTTAGTATCAAAGGAACATCAACTATAGTTTCTATCACTGGCATAGCAATTCAAATCAATCATAAACATTCATGCACACAGTTACATGTAAGTACAAAGAGAGAGAGAGAGAGCGAGCGAGAGAGAGAGAGAGAGAGAGAGAGAGAGAGAGAGGAGACCTTGGGGCAGCATTTTCCGCAGTTGGAGCAACGGATGAACTTGACATGGCCACGGGCGTGCTTGTTGCGGCCGCCATTCCTTCGCTTGAAAGTCTGCACAAAAACAGAGATACATACATATATAGATTCAGAGTTTTGATTGATTGATTGATCGATGATAATTGGTAGTAAAACTGAGAAATCAGTATCTCTAATCAGCGATCTGTCTTACCATCTTGATCGGTAGCCTCTGGTTCACTGCCCAAACCCTTGCTTCAAGGTTCTGCCTCGACGGCTCTCTAGGGTTTTTTTTGTTTTGTTTCTGAGGGTAGGGGAACACTGTGGGTAATGATCACTTGTGTGTGATACTGTTGCCTATAGATAAACGCGTGGGTCCGAATTATGAAGTGGCGCGCGAGTTGAAATTTCAACCTTTACCAACTAATTTTCTACTTAGTCGGGAAAGGAATGAATTATCACTCAACAGCGACGAAAGTTTTGGTCACTAAAGGTCATATTTCGCGACTAAGTACTATTTTTGTCGGGAAAAATATATATTACAGTTTAATTTTTTTCTTAGCCTAAATTGTATACTAACGGCGACTAAATTATTTTTAGTCGGGAAATGAATGCATGATCAGCCTTTACCGACTAAACTTTTTGTAGCCAAAAATGTAATTTACCCAAAAGACCGTTAGCGACTAGATGTCAATTAGTCGCCAATTAGTTTTATAAAATCTCTCCATATTTTGAAATTAATCCCTCCAAATTTTTTAGTTTTCGTGACTAAACTTTTTTTTTTGTCGCTGAAAGTACGTTTTTGGCGACTAAAAGTTTGGTTTCCAAAGAGAAAAATTATTTTTTTATTTTCCATTCGGCTACTAAATATTTTAGTAGCGAAAAGTCAATATTCAGCAACTAAAATTTTTTTTTGTCTCTGAAAGGAGATTTTTGGCGACCAAAGTTTAGTCGCCAAAGAGAAAAAAATCATTTTTTTATTTTCCATTCGGCTACTAAATATTTTAGTAGCCAAAAGTCGATAATTAGCGACTAAACTGATTTTTCGTCGCCAAACCTATACTTTTGGCTACTAAATTTTTTTAGTCGCCAAAAAGTTTTACTTTTGGCTACTAATGTTGTTTTAGGTCGCCGTAGGTGCATTTTCTTGTAGTGTTGGTACATACATTCAAGAAATTGGGCCATGGGTTGCATGATTTGCACTAAGGAAGTGGGAAAGAAGAGCATCTCATGCATGAATACATAATTCTCATAATTTTGTAAGTTGATTTTCAAGAATTTCCACATGCATGTCCATATCTTGGTTTTGTTTAAAAAACTCAACAAGTTTTTGATCTAACATCTCACTTGCTCATGATTTGGAAACTTGGAGCTTAAATCACTCCATGCATGTCATATTCATGCTATGTTTTCACAATTCAAGCTTGAGTTTGTATAATTGACACACTTATGGGCCTTGATTTCATGAAATGATCTTTAATTCTTTATATTTTCCAAGTTTAGACTTGTTTCCTCAAGTTTTAGGACCCAAGAGTTGTGTTTTGAATAGTTGAATTTGAGTTTTGAGCTAGGAAGTGCAATTTGGAAATTCCAAATTCTGCTTCCCCACTCGAGCGACAGATTCTCCGCTCGAGTGACCACTCTGTGATTTTACACTTCCTCTCAAGCGACCAAAAGTTCACTCGAGCGTGAAATGGAAGCTCGCAACGGTTTCATGTTTTGCAGACCGCTTAAGCAGCAAGAGCTGCGCTTGAGCGAGGGCTTGAGTCTCATGCTCGAGCGAGCGTCGAGCTGAAAAATCGAGCAACCATTACTTTTGCAAAGTTTACAGATCGCTCAAGCGAAGGAAGTTGCGCTCTAGTAACCAATCACATTTTTCATTTTCACTCGAGCGAAGGAAGTTGCGCTCGAGCAGGACCCCTGTTTCTAGCATTTTTGACCAAGTATTTTCAAATACATTTTTGCATCCTCATTGCATCCTAGGCATTCCTAGGCCAAGACTAAGACTCAGTAATGAGGACAAAGGCCGAAAACACGCGAAAAATGAAACATAATAAGTGAAGTATATCTTGAGCGTATGTTTCAAACGTGTATTTGTTATGTGTTGTGTAGATCACGGGCCGTAGGCTATTCGGTTATCTGTTCTATCCATTTGCTTTGGAACCATCTATGAGTAATAACTTTGTAAAGCTATGTTCAATTATGAGTATTTTCTGAATGATATAAGATGATCTGTTTATGAAATATTAGTTTCTGTATGAATGAATGGTTGTCCAATGTTTTTAAAATGTATTTGTGGCATTCTTAGCTTCAGATGACATCTGTTATCTATTCTATTATGTCCCTTTTATGGGTCAACTGTTCGTCTCATGAGCCAACTGTTATGGATCCTTCTGTATACGTCCCTTTTATGGGTCAACTGCACGCCTCATAAGCCAACTGTACCGTCTCCGTGCACGTGAGTCAACTGTATGCCTTTATAGCTGTCCCTTTATGGGTCAACTGTATGCCTTTACGACCGTCCCTTTATGGGTCAACTGTTTCTGCTACTGCTAATGGATGTACCACGTATGATTAACTGCAAATTTTGATTATGAGTATGATTCTGAATCTGTTTCTGTTATGAACTCTGATTTCTGAACATGATTATGAATCCATTTTTGTTGACTACTGAATTTTATTTTTTGTAACTGTTACGGACAACATTCATTAAACCCTTTATTCCGGTATTATTCACTGGGCTCCCGCTCACTGTATTATATATTTATGTAGGTGATCAAGTGCATGACCAAGCTCAGTGATGACCACCTGGAGAGTTTTTGTCAGCCAGCCATTGTGCCTCCCGAGGAGGTTCCATACGTCATGTGATCATGTTTTTGTAAATACAAAAAGGGCTTCATTTTCTTTTGAAGTTTGAACAAGATTTTTGTTATCTGTATATTAGGCTAAGTCCCTTTTGGCTATATTTGTAACGAATGTGACGTATGCCTACGACATTATGATGTTATGCATATGTGTATATAAGTTTAAAATTTTTGTCTCATATATGTCTCCACAGCTAATTGGACTATGTATGGTTCTTTAATTGCTTTTGCAGCCCCTAATTATAAGTTATTCTATTCAGAGGCCTTTGGTAATCCAAGGATTGCTGGTTGGTTACAACGCTAAACCTATAGGGGGCGGGTTTGGGTCGTGATAGAGTGGTATCAGAGCACGTGTTATACCGCACACACGAGTCCATACAAGTTATAGGATGTCCTAGAAAAGAATGAAGGACATTTCATCTACATATGTGAGTGTGTGCTAATCTTTATAAATGTGAAAACTGAATTCGAACCTAAACAAATGAAATTGAAAGAAATGAACAAGGTTGTTCCTATGTTTATTATTACCTTGTCTCTCTATAGCATCATGGAAAATGCAAGAAGTAATGATACAAGTGAATCCTCGGAGGCTCGTATGAGTCATATGGAACAAATGCTTGCAGCTCTAACTGAAACACTTACACAACAACAGAGGCAACAAACATTGCCTCCTCCACCTCCACCAGCACAACATGAGCCAGATAACAGTGATATAATCAACCTGACTAAAAAATTCATGAAGATGAAACCGCGAACTTTCCTGGGAGGTATTGAACCATTAAAGGCTGAAACATTGTCGTTGGAAATGGAGAAATTATTTGAAGTATTTCCCTGTTCTGAGATTCAGAAAGTTCTTATGGCCACCTATACCCTGAAAGATGAAGCTCGGAGATGGTGGTTATTGGTCCGAAATAGTAATGGGAATATGACATGGGCTCAATTTAATACGATCTTCTATGACAAGTACTTTCCTCAGTGCTTTCGGGATTGAAAGGTTTCAGAATTTCAAGAACTTAAGCAAGGCAACATGTCTGTAGCCGAGTATGAGGCTAAATTCACTAAACTAGCTCGGTTTATGCCTCATATGGTAGACATGGGCTACAAGAAAGCTCCAAAATTTGAGGGTGGATTGGATTTTTATATATTTGATTGGGTAGGTGTCCTCAAACTACCTACATATGTAAATGTGCTTGATAGGGCATTGATGGCAGAAGCCATTTTGGCAACGAAGAAACAAGCTCCTTCCCCAACAACTGAACGGAAAGGGAAAAGATCTGGATTCAGTTTCAAGCAGGGTCGTTCATTTGCTATGAATAAGAAACAAAATACGAGATCTTCTAGCAGCTCAAGTCAAAGCAATGGGTCTGTGCTTGTTTATACCTAGTGTAAAAAGAGACATAGAGGAGTTTGTCATCGGGTATGTGGTGCTTGTTTTCGGTGTGGCAAGATAGGCCACGTGATAAGAGATTGTTCAATCGGGTTAGAGAATGCCGAACATGTCCAATTGTGTCAGAGAATGCCAACCGTCCTGTAGTAAGTTTAGCAGGATTTGCTTCTGGATCAAGAACAAATGTTAGAACTAATACGAGAAGAGAACCCTTTAGACAAGGCAGAGTTTTTGCGCTTGTGCCTAGTGATGTACAGAATACTGAATCAGTGGTGTCAAGTATAATTTCTATCTGTGCTCAAAATGCCTATGTATTGATAGATTCTGGTTCCACGCATTCCTTTGTGTCGCATGCTTTTTCTCAAAAATTAACTAGACCATTAGAATCCATGAATTATTTATTGTCTGTATCTACGCCATCTGGGGGTTCTATGGTATGTGCATATGTGTACCCGGCATGTGAAGTTGTGATTGGTGATGTGATATTGTATGTTTATTTATTACCTTTGGGAATTGACCATTTTGATTGCATATTGGGTATGGACTGGTTAACGAAGTACTATGCAACTATTGACTGTGTGAATAAGCCTGGTAAATTTCGTCCACTTGGGTTACGTAAGTTTGTGTTTACTAGGAATGGAGTGGTCCCTCCCCCATACTTGATTTCTACCATAAAAGCTGTTAAATTGCTTAGGATGGGATATAGAGGGTATATGTGTTGTGTTTTGACGATGACTTCTGATAATCCCACTGTAGAGAACATCCCTGTAGTAAATGAATTTCCTAATGTATTTCCAACTGAATTGCAGGGAGACATAATTGATAGGGATATTGAGTTTACTATTGATGTTGTACTCGGAACACAACTGATTTCCAAAACCCCATATAGAATGTCAACTTTTGAACTAAAAGAGTTAAAAGTTCAGCTCCAAGAACTCTCAGACAAGAAATTTATCCATCCGAGCACGTCACCTTGGAGTGCTCCAATGTTGTTTGTCAAAATGAAAGACGAGTCCTTGAGGCTGTGTATTGACTACCGTGAGTTGAACAAGATAATTGTGAAGAACAAATATCCATTGCCCCAAAAAGATA